CACAGAAATGTGCCGCTCCGTGTGTGCGGAGGTCAAAATGTACCGTACGTATACGCTGTATGCACACTTTTAGACACTGTGTTTATGTTGGGGATCTGGACCGGGCCCTACGGGACGGGAGCCGAGGGAGCCAGAGAGAACAAAGGAGGATGTGAGTCGAGAAAGGAAAATAATCTTGCTCCGGTCGATTTGTATACGAAGAAATTGGAAGCCCTCGCCGTTACCTCGGGACATTTCCCTACAAAACCGCCTCTTCTTACACGTATATCAACAAACGGTCCGCAGTAATTCTTCATAGTAAGTCTGGGTTTTTACAACCCGGTCCAGAACTGAGCCCTTCTGCTTCTCCGTCTTCCAGCTCACAGTGCTTTTGTTGGCAGAAGACCGGTGAACGTGTAGGATGTGCGGTGCAAGAACGAGGAGAAATAAACGCAACAAAAGGCCCAGATAAAGTTGAATATTGTGCTAACACTTCAGGTGTTCATGAATAAACTTAATTTAAAATGTAATGTTCTTTGTCTTTGAGAAACTGCAGTTTTACTGTAAATACTGTAAATACTGTGAATACGGAAAATGTAAGAGCTGTCCTCGGTGCTTCTTCTGCCCCCAAGTGGCTGAAAACAACAACCTGTGCAATGCTACGCTGCGTCGCCGAAACTCGGCTGAGTATTTTGTTTGTTTTGTTGATTCAGTTTCACTCCTGTTCAGTTATTTTCTTTTTTTTTTAATAATTTGTATGTTTTGTCTTCTTTTTTTTTTTTAAGACATTTATATCAATTACGATGTTTAGCTCATTCATTCGTCAGGTCTCTCTCATAAATGAGTCCCCGAGGCTCAATGGGATGAACTTGTATAAATAACGGTTGAATGAATGAATAAATTCAGTGGGTCCAGTCTGTGACTTTTGGCTTTTATAAATTTTATATTTCAATATATTACTCCACACTTGCTTTCAAAACTATTTGTAATTTTGTTTTAAAACTCAGAATACTTTTAAGTGTAAAACCCGCTAGCTGAGCTATTGTTTTGTTACGTTTAGCATTTAGCTACTCTTTAGCTACTTTAGGCTAGCATTTTGTTACTTTTAGCTTTTTTTATAGACTTGCTACTTTTAGCTTTACCTTATGATGTATTTTTAGAATTTTGTTCTAGAATATTCCTTTGTGTCAAAATGCCCCCCAAAAATCCAAGAGTTCCTCAAAAATAAAATTAAACTTCTTTGATGTATAGATTTCACAGAACGGTTAATGGACTGTTCTTATATATCACCTTTCTATCTTATCAAGACACTCAAAGCTCTTTACAACAATCTGTGCCTCATCTACCCATTAATACAGCACTCTACTAGATCTACACAAAGACTAATCAGTGCTTTATCACATTCATACACTGATGGGACACACATCAGAGACAATGAGGGGTTCCGTGTCTTGTCCAGGGACACTTCAGCATGTGACTGTTGTTGGAATCAAACCCCCCCAACTCTCCCATTGGAGGATAACTGCTCTAACCACCCAGCCACAGCCGCCCCTTAAAGAAATTCAGAGTATTTTAAAGAAAAGGAAAGCTTTTGGTCTGTTGGACGTCTGTAGGTCTGTAGGACATTTTGTTTGTTGGACATTTGGTCTGTAGTACATCTTCATCTGTTAAGACGCTTGGTCTGTAGGACGTCTTGGTCTGTAGGATGTCTTGGTCTGCATGACATTTGGTCCGTTGGACATTTTATCTGTTTGACATTTGGTCTGTAGTAGTCTTCATCTGTTAAGATGCTTGGTCTGTAGGACATCTTGGTCTGTAGGACGTCTTGGTTTGTAGGATGTCTTTGTTAGGCATTTGGTCTGTAGAACGTCTTGGTCTGTAGAATGTCATCTGTTAAGACGTTTGGCCTGTAGGACATCTTGGTCTGTAGGATGTCTTGGTCTGCATGACATTTGGTCCGTTGGACATTTTATCTGTTTGACATTTGGTCTGTAGTAGTCTTCATCTGTTAAGACGCTTGGTCTGTAGGACATCTGGTCTGTAGGACGTCTTTGTCTGTAGAACGTCTTGGTTTGTAGGACATCTTGGTCTGTAGGACGTCTTGGTCTGATGGACATTTTGTCTGTTGGACATTTGGTCTGTAGGACGTATTCATCTGTTAAGACGCTTGGTCTGTAGGACGTCTTGGTCTGTAGGATGTCTTTGTTAGGCATTTGGTCTGTAGAGCGTCTTGGTCTGTAGGACAGTTGGTCCGTTGGACATTTTGTCTGTAAGACGTCTTGGTCTGTAGGATGTCATCTGTTAAGATGTTTGGCCTGTAGGACATCTTGGTCTGTAGGGCATCTTGGTCTGTAGGATGTCTTGGTCTGATGAACATTTTGTCTGTTGGACATTTGGTCTGTAGGACATCTTCATCTGTTAAGACGTTTGATCTGTAGGACATCTTGGTCTGTAGGACATTTGGGCCGATGGACATTTTGTCTGTTGGACATTTGGTCTGTAGTACGTATTCATCTGTTAAGATGCTTGGTCTGTAGGACGTCTTGGTCTGTAGGATGTCATCTGTTAAAACGTTTGGCCTGTAGGACATCTTGGTCTGTGGGACGTCTTGGTCTGTTGGACATTTGGTCTGTAGGACATCTTCATCTGTTAAGACGTTCTGTTAAAACGATCTGTAGGACATCTTGGTCTGTAGGACGTCTTGGTCTGTAGGACGTCTTTGTCTAGAGGACGTTTTTGTTACGCATTTGGTTTGTAGGACGTCTTTGTCTGTTAAGACGTTTGGTCTGTAGGACGTCTTGGTCTGTAGGATGTTTTTGTCTATAAGATGTTTTTGTTAGGCATCTGGTTTGTAGGACATCTTGGTCTGTAGGACATCTTGGTCTGTAGGACGTCTTGGTTTGTAGGACATTTGGTCTGAAGGACGTCTTCATTTGTTAATACGTTTGGTCTGTAGGACATCTTGGTCTGTACGACATCTTGATCTGTAGGACATTTGGTCTGTAGGACGTCTTGGTCTGTAGGACATTTGGTCTGTAGGATGTCTTGGTCTGTAGGACGTCTTTGTTGGACATTTGGTCTGTAGGATGTCTTGGTCTGTAGGACATTTGGTCTGTAGGATTTCTTGGTCTGTAGGACATTTGGTCTGTAGGATGTCTTGGTCTGTAGGACATTTGGTCTGTATGACATTTGGTCTGTATGACATTTGGTCTGTAGGACGTCTTGGTCTGTAGGACATTTGGTCTGTAAGACATTTGGTCTGTAGGACATTTGGTCTGTAAGACATTTGGTCTGTAGGACATTTGGTCTGTAGGACGTCTTGGTCTGTAGGACATTTGGTCTGTAGAACGTCTTGGTCTGTAGGACATTTGGTCTGTAGAACGTCTTGGTCTGTAGGACATTTGGTATGTAGGATGTCTTGGTATGTAGGACATTTGGTCTGTAAGATGTCTTGGTCTGTAGGACATATTGGTCTGTAGAATGTATTGGTCTGTAGGATGTCTTGGTCTGTAGGACATCTTTGTTAGACATTTAGTCTGTAGGACGTCGTGGTCTGTAGGACATTTGGAATGTAGGATGTATTGGTCTGTAGGATGTATTGGTCTGTAGGACATTTGGTCCATTGGACATTTTGTCTGTTGGACATGTAGGATGTCTTTATATTTTAATGTGTTTGGTCTGTAGGATGTCTTTGGTAGACATTTGGTTTGTAGGACGTCTTGGTCTGTTAGAAGTTTGGTCTGTTGGACATTTGGTCTGTTGGACATTCACCACAACAACAAATAGGCAGTCAAACCAAACCTGAAACTGGTTTCAGGTTTGGTTCTGTTGTACTGGTTGATGTTCTGTGGACCCAGAGTTCTTGCTGGTTTTGATCTAAACACTTTCTGGTCCAAGAACTCAACACCAGTCTAACCTTGAACTTCAGCGAACCTGTCAGAGAGGAGACCTGTCTGCGGACAGACTTTAGGACGAGACAGGAAACAGAACCTGGTTTTGAACGTGGTCCAAACCCCTCAGGTGTCCAGTTCAGTTTAAAGACCAGATCTGGACTCGGCTTCAGACCCTTATTTTATGTTGTCCTCCCTGCAGAGGTTTGGTCCTCACGTGTCCCCCCATCCTCCATAAACTTGGCCACGCACATCTCCTGCATTCTGTCTCTCAGATGAGCCGAGAGTTCGAGCCCCGCGTGAGGTCAATAACGTGCAGCCTCTTGTCTAGACCGGTCCACCTTTTGAACACCCCCACACATGCACACACACACGCACACCTTCAGTCCTCCTGCTGCAGACTCAGGCCGGTTTTATTCAAATGTTCAAAAAATATATATATTTTTTAAAATTCCTGAATCTTAAATTTGAGCTAAAAGAAACTTTTATAATAAATAATATTCTGAGTGATTCTGAACATGTTTACAAGATTCTGAGGTGAAAAATCATCAGAAGAGCTGGACCTGGACCCAGCAGAGACCCAGGATCTGAGGTCCTGGACCCAGCAGA